TCATCTCTATGAGGCATCTCTGCCTCAAGTTCCCCACACCCACCGGCATCGGCTACTCGAGGGGGAATCAAAAGCTCTCCAGGGCATGCTACCTTCAACTTACCAAGAAGGTTAGTAAAACTGAATTTCGGATTGACACCATCACCGCCAAGGCCTTGGAGGAAGAAGAAAGTAGGCCGAGGGCTGAGCCTGCCGAGGAGACCGAAGACTTGATACTCGATCCGGCCAAGCCGGAGAGGGTCCTGAAGATTGGAGCCAAGCTCCCCGAAGACCTGAAGACTGGCATCACCGAAGCCCTCCGCGCCTACTCCATTGTTTTTGCATGGGGGCCGGAGGACATGCCGGGAATTGACCGAAGGGTTATCACCCACCGCCTAGCGGTGGACCCTTCGGCCAAACCAGTGCAGCAACGAAGAAGACCCCTCTCGGCCGAGAGAAGGGAGTTCGTGAAGAAGGAGGTATCCATGCTCCTCTCCATCAAACACATTAAGGAGGTGAAATACCCCTCCTGGTTGGCAAACGTAGTCCTCGCACAGAAGCCTCCTACCTTCCGCATGTGCGTGGACTACACTGATCTGAATAAGGCATGCCCTATGGACCCCTTCCCTCTGCCAAACATTGATCAACTAGTGGATGAGACCGCGGGATGCGAGATCATGTCATTCCTCGACGCGTTCCGCGGATATCATCAAATCTACATGCATGAGGAAGACACTGAAAAAACCGCCTTCATGACACCCGAAGGCATCTTCTGCTATCTTGTGATGGCCTTCGGTCTAAAAAATTCAGGCGCCACCTACACGCACATGGTAGCTAGGGTTTTTCAAGCTGTCCTAGGACGCACCATGGAGGCTTACGTTGACGACATGATCGTCAAAAGCAAGAAGGCCGGCACCCACGCCGACGACCTCCGGGAAATTTTTGCCATCATGCAAAAATTCAACCTCCGGTTGAATCCAAAGAAATGCACCTTCGGCGTACAAGGTGGAAAATTCTTGGGCTACATGGTAAGCCGAAGGGGTATTGAGGCCAACCCCGAGAAGATTCAGGCCATCATCAACATGGAGCCTCCACGCAACGTCAAAGAAGTTCAACGGCTGACGGGTCGCCTGGCGGCCCTCAACCGATTCCTCTCTAAGTCAGCCGAGAGGGCCCTCCCCTTCTTCCAAATCATGAGGAAGACGGCGGGTTTTCAATGGACATCTGAATGCCAAGAGGCCTTCGATGAACTCAAGAGGTACCTCTCCTCTCCCCCAGTGCTCTCCAAACCAAAGGTGGGGGAGACTTTATACTTATATCTCGGCGTTAGCCCTGTGGCTATAAGCTCAGTACTAATCCGAGAGGAAGACGGCATCCAACATGCCATCTTCTACGTCAGCAAAACCCTCCGGGAGGCCGAACTAAGGTATTCTCCCGTCGAGAAGACGGTGCTAGCCATCGTTTGGACCGTCAAGAAGCTTGGCCATTACTTCCAAGCTCATCCAGTCCAAGTGCTCACGCATCAACCCCTCGGCGCCCTCATGAGGAGTCCCACTAGCTCCTCCCGAATGGTGAAATGGGCCATCTTCCTCAGTCAATACAACATAGATATCCGTCCGAGGCCCGCCATTAAGGGCCAAGCCCTGGCGGACTTCGTAACGGAATGCACCGCGAGATCAGCAACTGACGAGGAGCCTTCGGCACCCCTTGACGAATGGTGGACCCTCTACACCGATGGCTCCTCGGCCACCAAAGCATGTGGAGGGGGAGTAGTCCTCATTACTCCCGAGGGCTTCCGCGCCTATTATGCCGTCCGCTTCTCCTTCAAAGTCTCCAACAACGAGGCCGAGTATGAAGCCCTCCTGTGTGGCCTTCGGCTGGCAGCAAATCTGAAGGCCAAGATGATCCACGTCAAGTGTGACTCCAAGCTTGTCGTGGGTCAAATTTCCGGGGAGTACGAAGCCAAAGAAGGGAGGATGAAACAATACAAAGAAGCGGCTAAGGAGTTGCTCAAGGTGTTTGAGGCACATTCTCTTACCCAAATACCGAGGGCTCAAAACTCCGAGGCCGACATTCTATCCAAGCTCTCGGATGAGTCCCCCGAGCACCTCTCAAAAATTGCAAGAATTGAGGAACTCAGCCTCTCAAGCATCCACGCGAGCCCCGTCATGAACATTAACCTGAGGCCGGAGGATTGGATCTCCGACATCATCGCCTTCATCAACACAGGGCGACTGCCCCAAGATGAAGCCCGCGCAAAGTTAACAAAGCTGAGGGCTCCCAGCTACACCATCGAAAACGGGAGGCTTTACAAGAGATCTTACAACGGCACCCTCCTTCGGTGCCTTCATCAAGATGAAGCCGAAGTCGCCATGGAGGAAGTGCACAGTGGCACTTGCTCAGCTCACCAGGGACCCTTCTCCATGTCCCGAAGGCTCATTGTTCAAGGTTACTTCTGGCCCACGATGGCTAGAGATTGTGCGGATCTAGCCCGGAGGTGCACCGCTTGCCAACACTTTCAGAAGGCCCCCGGCAGACCAGCGGTCAACTATGCTCCCATCAGCACCGCCATACCCTTCTCCAGATGGGGGATTGATTTAGTAGGCCCTCTGCCGAGGGGTACCTCCAACAATAGGTATATCATTGTGGCCATTGACTACTTCACCAAATGGGTGGAGGCGGAGCCCCTCGCCAGCATCACTGAGGCCCGGTGCCGCCACTTTGTTCTCAAAAATATCCTCACAAGGTTTGGCGTCCCCCAACAAATCATCTCCGACAACGGGACTCAATTCGAGGCAGCCCCCTTCTGTGCCCTCCTGGAGGCATGGGGCATCAAACACACCTTTTCATCCGTTGCTTACCCTCAGGGCAACGGACAAGTAGAAAATGCCAACCGCACTCTCCTCGAAGGGTTAAAAAAGAAGCTGGAAGCCGAAGGGGGAGGCTGGGTAGAAGAGCTACACAACATCTTATGGGCCTACCGTACCACCCCTCGGCGTGCAACAGGCGAAACACCCTTCTCCCTATGCTATGGCTTTGAGGCTAAGGCTCCAACAGAAGTGACTCTTCCCACCCGAAGGGTTGAACAATATGAACCCGAAGTCAACGACGCCAACATGGCCCTCGACCTTCATCTCATTTCAGAACGCCGGGAACAAGCTTTTCTCAGGGCCGAAAACTATAGGAGACAAGTCAAAGGATACATCGACGCCAAGGTCCGCTCCCGGGAATTCCAGGTGGGAGACTACGTCCTCCGACGAAGGGAGGCCAGTCTACCCACCGAAGGAGGAAAGATGGCGCCCAAGTTTGAAGGCCCCTACATCATCTCAGCCATCATCAAGCCAGGAACATACACGCTTAAACGCCCCAATGGGACGGAGATCCCTAGACATTGGAATGTGCACCACCTTGTCAAATTCTATCAATAAGGCATGAGCGGCCAAGCCCTCATCCTCAGCAAGTGTAAATATCAATGGCCCAAGGCCCCATCTGTTTTTGAAGAATAATCTAAAGGCCCAGCCTTCATCACCTACATGTTGTACGAACGGCCCAAGGCCCCCCCTTCTCTCCTACAAGTGAGTGGCCAAGCCCTCATCGCTTCACCAAAATAGGCCCAAGGCCTCTCCCTCTCATGAGGGGGAACAACAATTTAGGTACCAAGTACCAAGTGTATGGGTCACCCCCATCACTCTTTGAAGACACCAAGTGTTTTCTCAAACTTTTACATACTCTCCTAAAAAAAAAAAAAAAAAAAAAAAAAACGGGGGGGGTGCAATACCCCTCGGCTCCGGCTGGCACCAAGTGCCCCCGGCTATTTGTGTCTCACACACAAATAAAACCCTTCCCAGGAACGCTTTCCGCGCCATCCCCCAAGGGGAGGCAGGCAACGGACCATGTCCCGGGCCCAGGATTCGACTTCCACAAACGAAACGCTCCCCGCGCTATCCCCCAAGGGGAAGCAGGCAACAGACCATGTCTCGGGCTGAGGGGACGACTTTCAAAACCGAGGCGCTTTCCGTGCTATCTCCCAAGGGGAAGCAGGCAACAGACGATGTCTCGGGCCGAGGAAACGACCCTCAAACCCTTCGGGATATCGGAAGGTCATTCCCGAAGGGGGAGCCAACGGTTTGTTCCGTTGCCTCCCATAGAGGCCAAGACTTTCCTAGACACCAAGTTTCTAGATGCCTCTCCTACACCATCTCAAAAAAAAAAAAAAAAAAAAAAAAAGATGTGTAGGGGGGAAGGAACTCCCCGGATACTATTCTCCCCGGAGGCTCAACACTTCGGACATACATTCCCGAAGGCTCCTACAAAGGCAACAGGAATTTTCTCAACAACGAGTCACCCGGCTACATAGCCGAAGGCTTCATTACATGAAGCCTTGGAGTACAAGATTTCCACCGGAGGCCCAAGAAGAAGGCTCACTAAGCAAAACTTCACCGAAATTCGGCTGGACCAAAGTCAACTATGCGACATGCCGAGGGCTCCACAAAGTTCTAAGGCAGGCTAAACCTATATCTGCACAAACCGGAGGATCCATGCCGAAGGCAGAATAGCACCCGACTCATTCAACAATGAAAAAGTTTCTAAGTCCACATATTAGCACCCGTGGGAGGTCACTCATCGAGCCGAAGGATGATCACAATACTTGCACTCTGGGTTTCCCTCATCACTACAACACCTATTGAAATTTTGTGGAAAAACGACTAAGTCCACAAATGTGGACCCTTCGGGAGGGCAATTCTTCACCTACAGACTCATGGCCGATGGCCTCCCAAACTACTTGGCAATAGCTAAAAGCTACACTACTAAATGAAGGCTTCCAATTCATTCTATCCCTCGGCATTACTACTGCGAACATCCGAAGGGGGTTGGTCCTACACAAGCAACGACCCCCCGGTAATTCTACTTTACAGCCGAAGGGTCCTGGTCTGGTCTCACTTAGAAAATTTTCTAAGTCCACAAACTTTTGGCCTTCGGGAAAGCAGGCAAAAGAAGGAAAGAATACATAGTAACGAAAGGCATACATTCACAAGGAGAAGGAACGAAGGCAAACAAAACTTGGAGAAAAATGAGGCATTCATTCATACAAAAAGCCCGGAGGCACATCATTCATTCAAAACTAAATAAGTGAAGTATAAGAGATATCTGTTTACAACATAAGGCCGGGGCCGGAAGCCTATTTAACTATTACAAGTTGTGCTTAAACAAGTTTTAAACTTGAGCATTCTCAGCTCCGTCCTCTTTCGGCTTCGAGGAGGTATCTTCTTCGGCGCCGTCGTCATCTGAATCGCATCGGGCCAGCTCCGAGTCCTCGAGCAGCACCCTTTCTTCACCTTCGGGCAAAGGAACCCTCACGTCCGGCAGAAGGGGGGGGGAGGCCATAAGCTTCAGGCTGAAACTCCTTCGGATCTACGCCGTGGTGCCGGGCCAGCCTCCGGTACAGCATAGCCTGAGTAAAATATTGGGCGCCCTCGTAAAAACTTTTCCCCTTCAGGGCAAGCCACATTGCCCCGGGGCCCTTCACCCAGGCATCCGCTTTAGCCTCAACCACCGAGGCCACCCACTGCTGGTACTCTTCGGCCTTCCAGCCATCGGCAACAAAAGAAGCAACGGCATCCTCGCTGGCTTTGGCGACGGCATCAGCTTTGGCCTTATCAGCTTCCTCGGCGGCTGCCTGGGCGGCCTCGGCGGCAGCTTTCTCTGCTTCGGCCTTCCCATTAGCAATGCCCTCGGCCCTAGCCTCATTTTTGGCAGCCTCTAGCCTCTGCTCAGATTGCCGAAGGGCCTCCTCCAAACCGGCCAGTTGCCTGATGGCCTCGGTGTTGTTAGCAATCAGCTTCCGCATGGCCTCCTCAGACCTCACCCTTTCAACACGGCGCTGTTCCGCCCTCCTGACTAGCTCCCCGAGGGCAATGCTCGACTGCAGACAGATAAAGGAGCACTCGGGATCAAATTATGCAAAAATAGGGAAACCCGGGACAAAAGTTAAAAGAGGGAAAGGCACTTACCGTGACCGAGGCTTGAAGGGCCTTGAGCTCGAGAGACTCGTCCTCGAACTTGCCGAGGGTTGATCGATCCAGCGAGGGAGTGGCGCCCCTCAGGAACTCCCTCGGGTCAAGGGTGCCATGCATAATGGCTGTCCCCTTCTTGATTGGGAACTGCACCTTTTCCAGCGGCCAAGCCCCCTCGTCAAGATCCACTTGGGGGAGGGAATCCGAGGGCTTGCCCGAAGAAGGTTCATCGATAATCACTAAGGGGGCATCCTTGCCCCCCCCACTCCTCTTCTTCTTCTCCGGGGGCAAGACACCTTTCCCGGCATTTTTTCTCTTTAGCTCCCCGTCTTGGGAGCCTCCGGCACCAGCACCGGAATCAGCGACGGGTTTTTGGGAGAGGTCCCCACCCTCCGGGACCTTGGGGGCCCCTGCCTGCTTTAGCACCTCATCAACAAGAGGCTGGTTCGCCGAGGACCCCTCCTCCTTCTTCTTCCTTGGCTCCTTGGCCAGCTTCTTGGTCAGCTTGGCGAACGCCTTCGGATCCATAATATCACCTGCACAAGATAAGGAACGGTTAGAACCACAACAAATGAAAGAGAAAATTTCCTAAGTACCAAAAAACAAAGCCCTCGGCAACAACCTCCGGCGTTTTGATATCCCCGGCCGATCAAAGGATATTTTTCGTCTTCATCCCCCGGAAGACGATATCGCCGGAAACCCAGTAGGTACAGCTCCTCAGGTGATGCCGCCTCCTTAATCGTGATCACTTGGTTGGACCCCTCGGGTTTCTGGGTGAGCTTCCTCCCCGCCTTATCGAGAGCTGCATTACCCACCTTCGGATGCCTCTTGAAGTAATTGTTGAGGCCCCTCGGAAAAGGATTCTCGGCCACCCGGATGTAGCAGAACTTCTCCTTCCATTCCTTATGGGACGAGGGGGTCTCAGAAAACAGCTTCCAAGCCGGCACCTGCTGCAGGTTGGCATATCCACCGGCGTGAGAGTGCCCCCCCGGCACAGATTAAAAGAGAGAAAGAATTATTCCAGCGTTGCCTCCACCTTCCGGCTGCGGCACAGAGATAGGAACCCGGCCAGATAGTAATGGCTGTTCGGGGTGAGCTGGCAGGGGGCCAGTTTCACGTATCTCAGGTACTCCAGGACGAAGGGATGGAGCGGGAATCTGAGCCCAAGCTCCACCGACAGCATATGCACTGAGAAACACCCCTCAGGCGGATGGGAAAGCAAGGCATCAGGCCCCGGCTCCACCACCTGCGCCGAAGGCCCCACCAGGATCTGGAGAGCATTATAATCAGCACTCGAAGCTGTGGTCTTCACCTCGAGGGCAGAGGTGTCCAGATAGGAGTGGCCCTCGGGAATCCCAACCGGCCGTCCCGCGTCGACGGCTGCTTGCTTCTTCTTTGGGGCAGCCCTCGCCTTCTTCTTCTTTCTTCCCTCGGCTACCCGGAGGGGTTGAACATCCAACGGCCGAGAGGTGCTCGCCTCACCAACTCCCCGTGAGGGCATGACGGCAACCGTTACCCGACGGCGCTCCTTCTCCTCCTCCTCTTCAGCCACTTGGAGGGCGATGGCCATCTCTTCATCCTCCGCCACTTGCTCAAATTCCTCTGCCTCCATTTCTACCCGAAGGTCGCTCTGCACCTCCTCGGCTATGGCGAGGTCATTATTTATCGAAGGCTGGTCGCTCGATGACTCCACCTCAGAGTGGCTCTCGGTCCCCACCGACGGCTCCCTCGAAATGTCTTGCGAATCGCTTTGAGAAGACATCTTACTCAAGCAGGGCGTTGGATGGTTTGAAGGGAAGACACTAGTCAGGAATTCCAGCCGAAGGCTACTACAGGCCCTAACAGTGGATCTAAGGCTACGAAGCAAAACTTACTAAGTAGGCGAAGAACAGAAGAAGAACTGACCTCAAGAGTTGCGTTTGATCGAAGGCAAAGGTTTCTCTCTCTAGAAAATTCGGCAGAGCTTCGCTAGAATTTATGAACGCACAAGGAGGACTGAGCTCTGCCTTGGGATATTTATAGGCAGATGGGCCTCGAGAACTGGGCCTCAACTCGAAAGCCCATAATTACAGGCCGCCGGTTCGACCAATGGATGACTGCCGCTCCCTTCAGCCAGTGAGGAGACGCCACGTCAACCCCTCTTCCAAACGGCTATATTGCAACGGCTATATTTCAGAAGCACTGGAGTGCCCTCGAATGATAGCCTCCGGCTACCACTCACCACAGCCTTCAGCCAATAAATTCCAACATGGCGCCTTCGAGCTGACAACAATAAGAGCCTTCGCTTGTCAATATTGCCACCTGCGAGAGGCTTCGAGCGGATAATAGTATAAGCTTTCGGATAACCCCTCAGGGAACCCAACAACACACTAAAACTCCTTCCGCCCGAACAAGCCTTCGGCCCAAAGGAGTGGGGGACTGGGATACACCCCTCGGGGATCACACATACAACAAGTTACAATTGACGCGTGCAGCCTCCGGGCACAAACCTCAATATACCCGTCGGCAGAAAACAAACATCAAAATCTGACTCGTTACACTTGTAGTAGCGAAGCAGCCTTCACCACAACACAAGCGGGCAATACATCTACGCTTCCCTCAGAAAACCCTCGACATGTGAGGGACTGAGAGGAGCCCCCGGCAAACATGCGAAGGTTATGAATACTTTCCTTCAGAAAGCCCTCGACATGTGAGGGCTCCGGGGAGCCTTCGACAATCAACAGAAGACAAGTTCTCCAGCAAAAGCACCCAGCGAAATGGAGAAGCCTCCAGAAGAAGCAACACTTCTACTCCTTTTCCCTCAAGTACCTTTCGGCAAAAGGAGTGAGGGACTCCTGATGGAGTATATGGCCCAGGGACCCCCGGCCCGTAGACTCCCACTTCTCCTAAACAAGTCCATTGAGCCCAGAGAACGTCTCAGGCCCAAATACAACGGCCCGAGCCTCAAAGTAGCCCAGAATACACACTGGGTGCCTTCGGCCTCCTTGGCCGAAGGCTCCGAAACTCACAGGATAGCCTTCTCTGGCATAAGAAGCTGCTCAGAGGAAACGGGCGAAGACATGAGCCTTCGGCATTCCCACGCCCTCGGCACCAGGGGAAGCCTCCGGCTGAACCAAGCCTTCGGCTACACAGGGAGCCCTCGGCTACACAGGGAGCCCTCGGCTGCACAAGGAGCCCTCGGCTACACAAGGAGCCTTCGGCTGAACAGGCTCAATCATCAAAGATTCCTTTTAGAGACAGCCAACCACCGCATTTAATGCCACGTCACATCCGCCAACCGCAATCAATGCGGTTGACGTACCACTGCCGGTGCCACTAGGCTGATGTGACCCTTCGGCCGTTGGATTACTGACACGTGTCCTCTCATCGCATTTATTGCTGCTATAAATAGCAGCCCATTTCTCCTTGTAATGGACATGATCTGCATCTCAACTCCACATCTCGAGTTCATTTAATAAAATCGACTCTCTCTCCTCCTATTTGCTCTGACTTCTCTCTAAGTTATTCCCGCAATAACCCCTCGGATAAGATACCCCCCGGGTAGACTATCCATCAACTGGTTTCAATTAATGTTCCACATCTTGTAGTCGCTCGGGCGGCTACTAAATTTTCGTCATGTCATGTATGAAATCAGGGTTATAGGGTTAGATACGGGTATCGACTCATGGATACGGATATCGAAAGTATTCATATTTTTAAAAATAAGTCCAATACTTTTATTAAATTACAGATACGGATCCAATACGTACATGACACGTATCGGTGAGTAACGGTATCGGATACACGGATACGGCATCAGGGTGAAATATCGGTGCACCATATTATAACACCAATGGTCTGTTTTTGTTTTTCCCCCATAAAAATTATAATAATTATTATAATTGTAATGATTTTCATCATTTAAGCACTATTGTATGCTTAGTTGCTTACAAGATTTATATAAGGGAAAGTTTCCGAAATAGGACTAAAATAGTTTGAAAATTCCAAAATAAGACTCATGTTTTTTATTCCTAAAATATGACTAATTACTGCCAAATTTGGAAAATAAAGCCATGTTTGAAGTCTGGTACTGCCAAAACATGACAATAATTAGTCCTATTTTGGGAATAAAAACATGACGGTATTATTTTAGAATTTTCAAACCTTTTTTGCCCTATTTCAGGTAATATTCTCTTATAATTATAATTATATTGATAATAGACCAAAGATGAAAGATGTGTTATTTCAAGCATTAAATTACAATTGTACTAGGAAAGTAAATACATTTTTATACTCCCTTTGTTCTCTAATAATCGTCTGGTACTGCCAAAACATGACAGTAATTAGTCCTACTTTGGGAATAAAAACATGACGGTCCTATTTTAGAATTTTCAAACCTTTTTAGCCCTATTTCGGGTAATATTCTCTTATAATTATAATTATATTGATAATAGACCAAAGATGAAAGATGTGTTATTTTAAGCATTAAATTACAATTGTACGAGGAAAGTAAATACGTTTTTATACTCCCTTTGTTCTCTAATAATCATCTCGTATTCCTTTTTTGGGATGTTTTAAATATTTGCCTCTCTTTCCCTTTTTCGTAATTTTTTCAATTAAAATACATTTATAGCCTCACTTTTATTACCCTTGCCCCTTTTACTTTTTACATACTACGTCTCTTTTATATTTTATAATTACTTTACTATTTTCAATATATTCTCTTTCCTACATTTTCTTTTACCCTACACTCTCTATATTACTCTTATTATTTTCTTCTTAAAAACCACAATTAACCTAAGAGGACTATTACTAAAGAACGGAGGGAATATAAAACATAAGATATTGCAAGTTTACAATATACAATAAGTAAAGGTATTCATTATAGGCATTATAATAGAATTGTACCAATTAAGTAAAGATATCCTTTATGTCGAAGTTAAAGATATCACAAAATTAAAACTTTACATGGGTACAATGTTAGGCTTAAAGCCATACTGAATTTGACAACTTGCACAACACTATTTTAAAATTTACCCAACACTTGCTCATTTTTTGACTCTAAAGTGGTGTGTGCTTCGCAAGGAAATGCCCTCGTAGTGTAAAATGAATTTTTCTTTCCCAAACACATAATGTGCAAGCAATGAAGAAGTCATGTGTACACAAAGTTATTTAGAAGGTTCCATGAATAATGATGAATAATAAGTTGGAATGAGAAGAAAGTTTTGCTCTGGTGGATTGAGGTACATGACAACCTAATTTTAACTTAAATCTTTGATGGTATGTCTTTACGTTTTTCCCATTCAACTAACCCATTCACTTTTCAACCCAGCCTAACCCAGATATTTGGGATCCACCTCTGGAACCATGGCAACCCCTAACAGCCAAGGACTAGCGTTGAAGAGAAAGTTAGGACTTTTTTTATCACTTTTAATGAACTCTGAAAGTGGTTTTAATGTAGTGAAAAGCTGAGAGTAATGTTTTAGTTCATCCAAGTTTACCTTAACCATCAAGGATGACTAAGGTCTAAGTATATCTGAAGTTAAAATTGGTAAATAATTGCAAATAAAGTGCCTGTGAATTACCAGTGAAATGGTAAATAATAATGAGACAGTGCTTCACAACAATAGCACGTGAAAAGATTTCAAATTTTATGTGTCAATCCTCTTCATCATCTTCTTGAACAATTCTTTGGCCAAAACCTCTAGGTCCGGCTTTAGCTCTATTTTCAATCTTTCCCTTTCTCTTACTTTTCTTCTTAGAAGCCTCTTCTTTTTCGAACTTGTCACTCTCCCTCTTCCGTAAGAAATCTGTTACAGCTAAATAGATTACCTGCAAGCAGAAACAACACCAGACCCGGACATGAATATCATGAATTTGACCTTAAAAGTAAGCCAAAGTGGGTTATCTGGAAATGTAATTCACATAAAAAAAAATAACTTTTTTTGAGCTTAAATGATAATTCATTTCAACCAAAACATTCAAATAAATGCAGGACAAGGACTAAGATATCCTTTATTGATTAGATATCCTTTATTTGCTGCAGCCGTGATATAGAAATCCTAGATATAGATATATGAAGTAGTTTTTTTATTATTTTCTTTAATTTGTTCATTTTACCTATCGTCCTATCGATATCCATAAATCCCATAATGCATCGATATTTCTAACATTTCAATCAAAAGCAATATGATCACTCTTGGTTTTAGTACAAACTCATGAGCCAACAAGATCAATGTTTTACTTTTCTAATGTAATTACGCTTAAAAGTAAATATACTCATTTACTAAGTAAAATAAGAGGTTTTCTTTAATTAACTTAAATCACATTTATGCACACAAATATTACTACACGGTGACTTTCAACACTATTACAGTCACTACAACATATTCAATATGCATTAAGGAGTCATATTTTTGTCCAACTTTTACTTTGGTAATATATAGTCATTACACAATTATATTCAATATGCATTAAGGAGTCAACATTCATTTCTTTTCCTTATTTTATCTCTGTTTTATAGTTTTCTTCTATTGTATCCCACTATTCAATACTTACACAATGATTCTGTTAACATTGAAAAAATGGGTAGAACATCTAATGAAAAGGAGGGGGTATTTTAAATCATAAATGGTGAAAGTTAACCCCGTCAAAAGGCAAAGAGATTTACTTTGGGGCTGAGAACGAATGAAAATGTCACCCTAATCCCCACAAGTCCACAACTACTTTCTAGCCAGAACGGTTTATTGAAAAATAGAGCGTTTCTTGTCTTACTTTAATGCAGTTTTGAACAATAAGTAACAAAATTGGAATCAAACGCGAGAAATGGGTTCAGTTCAAATACGAGTATGTATTTACCCCAACAGTGAGAACGGATAAGCCAATGAAAGCAGCGAAAAGCAGAGCCGAAATGACGGACGAGACCCTATCACCGGCTGTAGAAGCTAATTCCTGGGAGTTCTGGACAGATTCTGCTCCAGAGGTCAAGACAGGGATAGAAGAGACAATCCGCCCTCCATGCCGGCGAAAATGCGAATCCCTATTAACGAAGGGATGAGATAGTGAAGGAGCAGGGATGATGAGCGAAAGATGGGAGTTGTATGATATGAATAGTCGGTGCTGGTTAAGTGGCCGTGGCGCCGGCGAGAGAAATAGAGAGAGACATGAAACGGCAGTAGCCATGTCTCATCTCGGCTGCTCCATTCTGCTCCACAATTCCCAAATCCAAAATGGGATAACGATGCTCTGGACGAGAAACGATAACGTTTGGAAGGCTGAATTTAGGGTCTGTTTGGATGGACACTCCACACAGATTTGGAGGGAAAGTTTTGCAAAATACTTCCCTTGTCCCATTTTAGTTAGTCAAATTTGACTTTTGAAGGCAATAATGTCTAACTTTGACTGATTATATACTTTTATATAGAAGTATTGACGATATGAAAAGTGAAAATGTGGTGGTAGATTTCTAAATATTTCGTCAATGTGAAAATGTGCAACATATACATGATATAGTGCATCACATCTGCTTAAAAGGTGGATGGTTCTCACGTTCTCACGTTAAGCATGATTCTCATTTGAACATATATATATACATACATACGGAGTGTATATAATATATATATATATATATATATATATATATATATATATATATATATATATAGTGCGGTTCTAGTGAGAATGATGCTTAACGTGAGAACGTGAGAACACTCACATTTAAATCATTGTGATGCACAATGGAGCTTTTCTGTTGCACATTTTGAAGTTGCTCGAATTAAGCCTATATTAAATAAACACGGTGGCATTTTGGTAAATATTTTGAAAACGCGAAAAAGTGCAATACACAAGCTTCATTGTGCACCACATTGAGGTAAATGCGGTGTTCTCACGTTCTCACGTTAAGCAATGTTCTCATTTGATCTTTATTATATGTGTGTGTGTGTAAAATTATTAAATTTCGCGTGAGTGTACCAATGCTTTTAATATGGTGAGCGGATGGATAGGGAGGATGACACCACGACGACTAGGGCTGGCAACACCAACGGACTAGATGCGAGAAGGGGATTCCGATCATCGTCGAGGAATGGTCATGACTGGGTATGACGATGCTCGTGTGCAGATTGGAAGGAATCGTCTGCCCTTGATTGGGGATCTTTGCAGTCGCGAGTCAGCGCAACAAAGGAAGATGAAGATGGACTACTGCGTCATCGGTGAATTATTTTCTAGTTGACCGTTAACATCGCAATTCATTCAAGATCACGCAGGGTTTTTCACTACTAAAAATACGTTATTTACCTATATATCCTTTGCTACAAATTTTACTTCAAAATCCACAGGTAAATAGGTTTGATGTGAATTATGTATCATAGGTAATATGCTCGTGGATAATACATTGTTGCAAATTTTAAATCCACAACTAGTTTGCTACAGATATTTTCATGGAAAATGATAAAAATATGCAAGCAATTTGTGTAGGTTGATAGCTGAGCTGAAGTGAGTAAATTGGGAGGAATTTTCTGCGATTTTTTAGACAATAATAGTTAAGTTGTTGGAATTATTCGCAGAAAATTGTATATGTATCATTTGCAACTAAAACTGCAGGTGCTTTATTGCAGTTACAACTACAGCTACTTCTTCAGGTAAACATGTACATATTGGATGCATAGTTAAATATGTAGTAGAATACATTATTGAAATTATTAAAAAAAAACTGCAAGTTGTATATATAAAAAACTTCGCAATTTTCAAAATTTTATTTAATTGACTTACAGATTAAATTTTAAGCTGAAATTTGGTAGACATACTTTACACTTCATGAAATTTTAATCATGCTCACAAAATTTCATCAAAAAAACAACTTTGAAGCACCTCAAATGAAAGAGGCCTAAAATTGTAACTTATAGGTCTACCTTACGTGGACATTTTCACGTACACACATATATATTAGCACAATTGCATAGATATTTTAGGAGCCTTTAAGTTCATTATATTATTCACATTGCTCCTAATATTAAATAATTTCAAACAAACCATCAAAATAAATACACTACTCAAGAGGTGGGACATTTTGCAAGAGATGGGATATCTTGATTGTAAACCAGCTAAATCTGCCATAGTTGCAGGCACACGGCTTGTTCAAACTACTGATAATGTGCTAAATGATGTTGGTGCCTACAGAAGGTTAGTTGGTCGTTTGTTGTATCTAAGTGCTACTCGACCTGACATTGCCTTTGCAGTTCAGCGACTAAGTCAGTTCGTGGACAAGCCTTCGTCTTTACACTTGATGGCAGCTCAAAGGGTGTTAAGATTTCTTAAGGGAGCACCTGGTAAAGGACTTCACTTCCCTGTCAAATATAACTACAATACTCAAGCTTTTGCAGATTCTGATTGGGGTGGTTGCTTGGAGACTAGAATATCTATCACAGGATACTGCGTGTTCTTGGACAAAGCCTTAATATCTTGGAAATCCAATAAACAGACTACAATTGCTCGTTCTTCGTCGAAAGCTGAGTATAGAGCATTAGTTGTTGTGACATGTGAGATTCAATGGCTTAAATATCTCTTCCAGGATCTTGGAATACACGAAACAAAAGCAGCACTGGTATTTTGTGATAACCAATCAGCCATCGCTGAATATCCCGTTTTTTCATGAAAGAACAAAACACATCGAGATAGATTGTCACATTATACGGGAAAAGGTGCAAAAAGGAGTGATCAAATTACTATATGTTCCTTCAGCACATCAAGTGGCAGATGGATTTACAAAATCTTTATCAACACCTCAATTCCTATTATTTCAGTCTAAGCTGGGATTCCGAGACATCTACACTCCAGCTTATGGGGGGTATTAAGCAATAAAAACGACGAGCTGTCAATAGAAGAATAGTAGTAGTTTCTAGATATATTCTACTTACTATAAATAGACAAAGCATTGTAAATTGCAGTTAGTAGAGTTTTTCCCCAAATGAAGGTAGTTTTAGATCTTATTTCCCAAATGAGGGTACTTTTAAACTTATTTCCCAAATGAGGGTAGTTTTTTCCTTGTCATCCAATTTTGTCAGGTCACATATTCTAGGTCATCCACCAACCATTCCATGTCATCAACCATCCCAGGCCATGTCATCTCGGTGTACTAATAATAAATATAAAAAAAATTTGAACTCACCAGGAATTGAACCTGGGACCTCCTTGTAATGCCTTAGGCTAGTACTACTAGACTGCATTCAGCAATTTGTTATCTCCCTCGTTTACCATTATAGTATCACATCCTTTCATGTATCAGAAATTAAGTAATTAACATATTCTTTTTTAAAGGAAATTTTATCATATGGTTTGAAATTAATGTTCTTTTTTTAATGTAATTTTAATTAATAAATGATTAATTTCATAGGTGCATTAAAAAAATTCAGTTAAAAGTTATAGCAAAAATATAATTTGATACTAGTATATGCTATTCAAGAATAATTTAAAATAATTATACACTATATAAAATAATAAATAAATAAATGTCATTCTAGGTCCTAATCCACTTGGGACTTAAAGAAACATATGTTATGAATATCAAAATCATGTATTTTAGTGTTGGGATATTTTATTTTTTGTACATGAAATTCAGTGCAAACAAATCATATATTTTTATATATTTTACATTAATAATATAAGATTTTTATTAAATTTGTGGTGAGATAGAGCCTATCATGACATTTATTTGTTTCATGTTTTATTTAGTGTTAAGTTATTTTAATTTTTTTTATTTGCATATATCAAATTACGATTGTATTATAATTTTTTATTGGGTTTTACTTGTTAATTTCATATCTATAAATAAATACTTTATCATATTTTCTCACTATTTTAAAAAGGAGTAATGTATGTTTAAAGCTAAGAAGTTGGAACACTATTGCATTTAAATATAAATTCTGGCTATGTTAAATAACTGTAGAGGAAGATTTGTGCCAAATATTAGAGATAGCTTACTGGTCCTCGCGTGAAGAGCAATTCAAGCAGGATGGGGGTTCGATCCCTTGCAGATTTATTTTTTTTATATTTATTAGCACACCCAAATAAGATACTCCGTAACATAAATGGTTGTCAACATAAATGGTTGATGACATGGAATGACTAGTGGATGACCTAGAATAGGTGACTTGGCAAAATCGGATGACATGGCAAAACTACCTTCATTTGGGAAATAAGTTTAAAAGTTACCCTTGTTTGGTAAATAAGATTTCAAACTACCCCTATTTGGGAAAAAACTCCAGTTAGTAAGATTGATTTTACATAACAATCAATAAAACAAACTTTATCTCCTGTAACGAACTTCTTCTTCTCGCTTTCTTCATACCTTGGTTGGACAAAACTTCTTCGTTGGGAGCTGAATTGATTGGGAATTTGGATTAGGGAGGGCTCAGTTGGCTTTAGAGATTTGAGTGGAAAGACATTGAGGTGGAAGCTAAAGCGGTCCGTGCTATTACCGACATTTTGAAGAGTTTTAGTTGTTCTTTGGTGGGATTATTGGGTGAAGACATAAGAGATTTGTGAAAGCATTTTTTGAGCATTTCATTTAGTCATGTTAGGCGATCAATGAACAAGACGACACATGTATTAGCTAGGATCGCTTGTTCTTTGTCTGATCCACGTTCTTGGTTTACTGTTCCTCCTTTCATTTTTTCTGTTCTCGACAATGATTTAATTAATGATAATTAAGTTTTTCCCTTTCAAACACACACACACATAGATTTACGGATCGGTAGATAACCGGACCGGGTTAGTGGCCGATTCACCGGGGCCAACCCGATCCAGTCCGGTTTATTGATACGCTCAAGTAAAAGTAACGGGATAAGGGTCGCTTTGGTCCTCGAAGTTGCAAAAATGGGGTCAAATAAGTCCTTATATAGAAATTTCTGTCCGGACGTGCCATTTGAGGTGGCTCCCGGTAGAATTTTTTGATTAAATTTTTTGAGCATCGTATTCATTAAGTCTAGTTTACTCATACCGAATTTCAGATAAAAATTTAATCGGGAAGACATTCAAATGAATTCTTGAAGATAACTGTGTCGATAAAAGCGCAATTATCTTCAAGAATTCATTTGAATGTCTTCCCGATTGAATTTTTAGCTGAAATTTGATATGAGTAAACTAGACTTAATGAATAAGATGCTCAAAAAATTTCATCAAAAAATTCTACTGGGAGCCACCTCAAATGGCACGTCCGAACATAATCTTCTATATAAAGACTTATTTGACCTCTTTTTTGCAAATTGGAGGACCAGACCAAACTGACCATTTACTCTAAAAGTAACTGGT